TGGGTGTATTCAAAATCTCAGCGCGCTGCCAGCGCCTCTCAGCACCTCTGTTCAAAATCTCAGCCAACTTCCGGTTGCTGCCAGCGCGCTGCCAGCAAACTGCAAGCGTCTTTTTCAGTGCTGGATACGTCAGCAAACAAGATGGCAGCAACCATGCAGTTAGTAAGTGCTTTGATAAACGTCGATGGTTTCGAATTCAATGCACTCATTGATGAATGCACATTGAATAAATTAAGATCAGGTAAGTACATTAATAGATTATTTTAATATACCAACATATTTATATGTGTGAGACATATTTTTTTTAGTTGTTATTATATTAAAATTATAGATGGCGGAAGCCACAAAAAATAATCCAATGATATTAACTAAAATGGGTAAAGTTTTTATTAAAATTAAAAATTCTTTTCGTACGTATCACATAATTATCAGGATAAAAGCATGAAACCGTTAATTTTAAGTGGAAGAACTACCCAAAAAAGAAAGTAAATTAAAGTTAATAAGATATAGCCTAGTTTTCTAATAATTACCTAGAAAAATAATCAATTTAGTTTCTTAAACACAAATCGGATAATCTCCCCGGTTTTTTTTTGTTTTTAGTTGTTAACGTTAATCTTAGGCTTGATTTAGTTATGTATTAAACGAATCTCTTAATTCTGTAATATTTTTGACATTTTTTTCCTTAGATGCAAACTACATGAAAAAATATCTGAATGATATGAAGCATAATTCAGAAATTGATATCCCAACGAATTTAGATATCAGTGCACCGAAAATTATTCGAATTTTTCGAGTCGTAGAAAAGGATGGTGAATTTGGTAAGATATTTATGTAAGGATGCTATATTTATAATATAATGCTATATTTTTTGTATTAATTTGTTTGGAAATTTATTAGAACTCACAGAAGGAGTCCAATTCAGTTTTGAAGAGGCTGAAAAAGGTGATCAGCCTGAAATAAAAAAAAATGAGCAGAAAAAGAAACAAAAGGGTATAGTTATTTAATACATTCAGACTATTTAATTTCAAAATTTATTTAACAAATACAAAATAATAAGTAATATATTAAATATTGAAGTACTTTCTTTTTTCAGTTGAATGGTCTGATGTGGCTACACAACTTTTAATCAATTGTAGGATTGAAAAAGAAAATGACTTCCAGAAACCAATTGCCAAGGCAAAACTGTGGAATCAAATTTCGCAGGCCTTACAAGACAAAGGGGTCAAGTTTACAGGGGAGGAGTGTAGCCATAAATGGCGAAATTTAATGTGCACATTTAGGCAAAATTTGGACAAGTTAAAAACATCAGGAGAGGGGAAAATAAGATGGGAACATTTTAATAAATTTTATGAAGTGTATGGTGGAAAGACGAATAATAATCCTCCACCTCATTATTTGAGCTCATCAATTGCCTCTCCAGCATCACCTTCTCCGTGCACCTCAGTGAGTGCTGTTTATACATCTGGCTGCAACTCCCCTGCTGCAAATACAGCCACAACTAGCAGTGAAAATAACACATCAGACTCTGCCAACTTGGACTCACCCTGTCCTTCGACATCTCTTACCAGGGAGAACCGTAAGAGAAAGCGGGAACCCCCTGCATGGTTTTTAGAAGAAATGGCGAAGAGAGATGCCAAGGATGAACAGAGGTGGAAGGAGGTGAAGGAAATAGAGGAAAAAAAATTACATGAGTTGCAGCAACTCAGAATGCTGATGTCTGAACTAATTAAAAATAAAAACAATGTATAATAAATTTTTTTTTTTTAAAGTAGCCCCTTGGCTAATTTTTTATTTATTAAAATAAAGCAATATTATTCTACCTAGTCTGACTTTTTATCATCTCTTGTCCAGACATCATATGCTGAAGGTTAATTAGCCAACCTTAGGCTATTTCAAGAAGAGTGCTTTTTGTCTGTTCAGCAAGAATTTTATAAATATATTTATTAAAAGTTTTTTAACCTGTTGACGACAATTGACAAATAAACTATTGGTAGTAGTGTATAAAGATTATTTTTTAAATTAACAAATTCAAATAACTTTAATAAAAAGCATTGTCATTTTTTTTTTATTTAAGACACTGAAATTTAAATTTTTAACTGTTTAAAGTAGATGTATCATACCAAGACACTTATGTATAGTATCCATCTCAACAAAATTATAATACTTAATAATACATTCCAAACAATATTTTATTACATTGAAACACAATTCATATAGTAAAGTGTATTGTACAGTACATACAGCCCAATAACATCACCCAGTCTCAGAACAACTGAGTTGCTATCAAGTTCCTCTTAGCTGCTCCATCAGTATTTGAATAACTGCTGCGGGGTTCTTCCAGTTCTTCTAGACCATTCTCTTCACTAACAATTTCAACATCTGTACTCTGATCATTATGCATAATACAAAAATTATGCAGTACACAACAGGCAGTGATGACTTTTGGAACCAAAGCTCTCTTTCTGATATATAAATATCTTAGTTTTCGGAATCTACCAAACAAATGGCCAAAAGCTTGTTCAATGACAACTCTACTTGAGCTTAAAACTTTGTTATAGTTTTTCTCTTTTCTTGTTAAATAGCCAGTATCACGATAAGGTGTTAGGAGTGATTTTGATAGAGGATATGCACAATCTCCTATCATGTGACAATTGTTTGGAAAAAACTGTGGATCTCCCAATTTGGAATAGAGAGGACTATTTCGGAACACCCTTGCGTCATTTGATGATCCAGGCCATCCTGCAAATATATCAATAAAAAGCAAATTGCTTCTGCAAACTGCTTGAAGCACAACAGCAGCAGTTTGTTTTCTAGTGATATGTTCATTTTTTTCTTCCTTTAGTGCCGAAAATTCGACATAGGTGCCATCTATGGCACCTATTACACCAGGAAAAGGCACTTGTCGTAGAGCTTCAAATGCTCGAATGGATCTTTCAGCTTCTTCACCAATAGGCCAGCAAATAAATTTAGTAGCCAAAGCTGAAATGTGATCACAATATTTCATAAACACACCGTGTGCATGGCTTTCAGTTACCCCAAATCTGTCAGCTACTTCTCTGTATGTTTCCTGATTGCCAACTAACCACAAGAATATAAGCAAATTTTTTTCTTTTTCAATTAGGGGCTTTGTTTTCACCTTTGGATTGGGAAGACATTGTAAAAGTATCTGCAAAAGTATTGTCATTATTTTATTTGAAAGCAATAATGTAATAAGGTATAGTTATGAAGTGTAGGAGAGAGTGGGGTTCATTGAAACATAAAATTTGCTTGTAATGTCCCCCTTTTAACCCTAAATTGCATGATTCTATTATTTTTTATTTAAAAAAAATTATCTTTAGTGTTTATTTTGCATCATTAATAAAACATCTAATTTTATATATATTATTTCAATCACTTTAATCACTGACTGATTAAAATGATTGAAAACAAAACTCATTAAAATAACTAAAGGTATTTTTTGAAATTATATAAATTAGAAAATAAAGAAAAAAATTTATTTTAGCAAAACAATTTCTTCTGATAGAAAAGCAACATACTCTTATTGATTTTTCTTTTCTAATGCTAACCATACACTTAAATATATCTGAAAAAAAATACGTTATAAGTTCCTCTCTGAACAAAAAAATACTGTTTACATGTTCAATTAAAACTGTCCCACATCTTATAATTTATAACGTTTCATTGTACTACTCTCCCCTACATATATTGTACTTACTTACCTCTACTGTTGTACGCGATAGGCGAAAATGACTTTTAAATTCTTTGTCAGAGTACATAGATACTACGTCTGAAACATAATTTTCAATTCGAATCCTCTTTCTTTTCTTGTTTGGTTTTTCTTCTTCTTCTATAACTCCTACAGATATTAAAAAATTCTCATCCCTCTTTCTCTTTTCGAAATATTCATTTTTCATTACGTTGGTCTCATTAAATAAGTTCAAAAACAAATTTAGCGAAACGTACAAGTCCATATCATCCGCCATTTTTCTTGTTTACCTTTCTGGATATTCCAACAGTCAGCAGTCAGCATTCGTGTTTGCTCCGAAACGCCAGCAGTACGTCACTTCCGGCAGCGAAGCGCTGGCAGCGCGCTGAGATTTTGAATACACCCAATTGTTTTCTAGCGTAACACGAGCAAAAGGTGACGTCGAAATTTCAATTTACACAACTCTCCACCCACATCCACATTATATTCGAATGAAGTTTTGAAATACAGTATATTACCGTACACAAGCGACTACCGAACGGAATTTTACGATACGTTTTAAAATTGAAATTGTTAACTAAACTACTGTACTTTACAATTAAAACATCTTGGCGTAAAATATTAATAGCTTTTCTCGTTTCATTAACGATAATAAATGTGTAGAGACGAAAGGAAGAAACTTCATACATTCACACTAATTTACTGTATGTATTCGATACCTGTTTATCTGATTCGTCAACAGAAATTAATAAAAATTACTTACGCTTTCTCCCAATATAATTTAACAACGAAACACGTTTAAAGCATAGAAATCCACGATACCGATTCAAAAACGAAACCGAAACACGTGTTACACAATCATACAGATAACCAGTGCTGCCGCCTGCTTCTGGTGAAACTACCTAAGGTCAAATTTCAAAACGTACCGAAGCTCCTTCAAAATGTACTATTTCTAGGTTGGTTACTCTTAATATTAATATACCATCATACTCAATTTTTGTGCTTATTTCAAATTCATATTCACCAATACTTTAAAATATTTCATAAAGACATTTCATGAAAATAGTTCCTGTGGTTTTTTGTTAAATACGACATTAAAAGTTGATTTTTTAAAAATATTATAGTGACGGATAAAAAACATTATAAATTAAATATGCGTGGACAGATTCAAATTAAAAAAACTTATTTCTTTTACCGAGATTACTAAAATTGAAGTTCGTAATTAAGAATTAAATTATAGTGGTAGAGAATAATATAAAAGTATTTATATTATTTGTACTGTACAATTTCAAAACTATTTTGTGTAATAATTCGACTCTGGCTTAACGGCTATTTTGATATTATTGATGACAAAAGTTTAAAATCATTCATTCCTTACTTCTGTTTGACGGAGTTGAATTGTTTGGACCACGCGGCGTGAAAAATTTCGTCAAGTTTCTCGTGAGAATGTGACGCGTGTGAAAGAGGACCACTGAATCGTAACATTTGCGCGTGCAGCTATCTGTACGTTGATGTCGACAGACATACACCGTGCGTATGTTGCGGTTGGGTAAATCAAATTAGCGAGCGGTGACAGTAGTCAGACTTTATTAATTAAACTAATTTTTTACATTTTTTCGCGAAGGCACGAAATATTATTCAGTACCATAAATGGTACTGAAATATTATAATGTACTCAAAATGTACTAAAAATTTAAGTGTACTTTCAATATACTCGAAAGGGCAAAATGTACTAGGAATGGCAACGTTGCCCAAGGTCCTACACCTCATACAACTTCCTGCCAGATTCCGGATATACGTCATCCGTAGTCGAGAGACTGCTTCGCAATAGTTAGCGAGGGAAGAGAATTTCAATATTTTTGTTGCTTTTTTAAGAGTTTTTAGGCTCTTAATTTTCAAAGGTAAACATATCTATGGTTATTACTAGCGTACCTAGTTTATCAGAGTACCGACAATGGGTTGTCAAATTTTCTATTGGTTAGTGTTATCGCGTGGTTAAAATCCGCCATGTTCTGACAAAAAGTGCGCGTGGCTCTGTGTATTTCGAATGGTAAGTGTCCTTTAAATAAAGAAATCTAGAAGTTTTTGAACACGTTTGACAACAGGTAGACAGGAATTTGCTATATTTTTATTTTCACGTTCATATTAAGCTTTAATATGAGGCAACAAACGAAAAAAATCGATAGTTAGCGTAGCTGTTTACGTTAGATCCGATATCCGCTTAAGCGATGTTATTAAAACGAAAAATTTATACAAAAATAAGTAGAAAAATTAGTGTAAAGTAATTTTCTACTAATTTTTCCGAAATTATTGCTCCTTAGAAAACCGTCTATTCACGAACAATATGTATGTTTAGAGAACTTTTTGTGTTTAACTAAGCATAAATTGTTATACTGTATTTTGCGTGTTTCTTTTGCTAGAATAACTTAAAAGTTACTGTTCCGGCGAATGAACTTAAATTATACAGATGAAAGAGAAATAATCACAAACCTTCAACGTGTAAAAATATTGTTATAGAAAAGTATTATTTATAATAAAACTAAACATTTACGTGTACTGTAGTACCTGAAAATTAGTTTATCCTGCTCGAAACAAATTTAATTCTATTACTCGTAAGACTTCTTTAACACATCCTGTACAATAACAATACAAAGACACGCTAGTACTTTGGACCTTACTGCCAGGCAGCATTTATTTGGTGATATGTGATTATTTAAAATATCATTTGTAAAGCTAATACAATTTAGAAGACGTATAAAAATTCATTATACAAATGATTCGTTTGCGTACTAGTACTTTTGTATTGTTATTCTACTGAATGCGTTAAAGGTGTCTCAAAAGTCATTTTGAATCCAGTTTTAGAATATCCCCTTTAATATTATTATGCAGATATCACCGAAATAACTCCCGGATGTTCGGCTTTTGGTTCTTCTAATTCTTCCGTAAAAGGATATATCGCGAAATGTTCGGAGAAAAATCTGGGCTAAAAGAGTGTGCCGAGAAAATTGTTGGTGCGAAGTTCGTTTTCAACCACGAATGTGGGAAAAAGTGAGAGTCGACGGGAAGAATAAATTAAAGCATAAATGCCATTCCAACTTCGTTTTCATTCACAAAAGAAATTATTCACAAAAAACCAGCAAATAGAAGATCCTCGACTGTCATAAAACGAATAAACACTGCAAAAGTTACTTTTCCAGTACGTACTACTCACACTACTGTTACACCATCAACAAATTTTGAAACATCCTCAACATTTATAGAAGAAACCACATTAGCCGAAGACATTTCTGTAAATCGTGATACATTATCTAAAGAACATACAAAAGATATATTTATATTACAACAGAATTTAGAAAAATATAAACAACTTATAGAAGATCACGTGAAAGAAATGTTAAACGTGTAAACACTATCACAACATTGAAACATAGAATTGGAATTTTGGAAAATAAAGTAGAAAAGGCTAAAGAAGATAATGAATCGTATCAATTCTTATCATTAATTCTTAATCATGGCCAAATATCTGCCACGAAAAGAAAAAGCAAATTTATGAAATGGTCAAAGAAAAGTATTCAAAAAGCTTTGAAATTAAGATTTTCATGTGGAACTAGTGGATATCAGGAGTTATTAAAACAAATGACAGTGTTGCATAATGGTAAAAATAAGACGAACGATTCTACGATGCAGATCCCTGTACTCTCATCGTGAAACAATAATCAGAACAATTCTTAATTCGTTGTCTTTACAAATGTTAATAACTAAAATGTTAATCAGAGGTGTTAATTTAATCTGATATTGAGATAATTGATGTTTTAGTTTGGAAATCGCAATTTGACAAACGACAAAAATCTCGCCTGGTCTTTAAATAATCATAAAATATATCCACGAGTCTAATGAAGTACAATTATTTAACTTTAATTACTTCACTTTCGACAATTAATAGAAAATTAAATAAGCCATTCGCTTGATTTCGAACGCACTTTAATACGTAAATGATCCGTTTTAAAATTCATTTATTTACATATATATAATTTGCCTTTTAACATTCGTTTTGAGGTTCAAATGAAACAATATATTTTTGAGTACCGGCAATGTCAGTGTTGTATAATGCTACTCTAAAATCGTATAATGCTACTCTAAAATCGGACTACATGGAGTGGTTGGGTGCCTGGTGCGGTGAAATGGTTCGCTTGCTGGCAAAGTTCGTGTCACGCGCGGTGTCTGTCGTAAAGTGAGATGAGCTGATGAATGACGTAAAAACTTTTTACTTCATTCAGAAGTTTTCTCGCACTGTAGCCTACCAGTGGCCNATATGGGAACTACAAATTCTTTTGTTGGATTGTTATGTAGGACTCTTTATCGCTTAACATTAGAAATGCCAAAATGATTTAATGTGTTTGTTAAATACTTAATCTGGGGGTCGATAAGAAGGCAAATATTCTATAAAGGGGTCGACAGGATAAAAAGTTTGGGGACCCCTACCGTAGAATATCCTTTTAAAAAATGTTCCAAAACGCTTGTATCGTTAATTCAAATTTAAAGTTCGAAGCTCAATTTTTTCTGTTTTTCCATTTATTCTTTATAAAGGTCATTAAATATGACCGAAAACGTTAGAATTGTAATAAATACAGCTGCATATTTAAAGGGTTTTTTGTATGAGTTTAGTTAGTAAGAAATGCAGTCTACGATGAGTTAATATCAACCTTTATATTTTTTTTTTTTTCTTTTCTTTTCGGAGCTCATATGCTATGCCAAAAAGTGAAATTAAATAGCTCAAGTCACTCAAAAAGCAAGTGATTTTTCCAATGTGTGAATATACTGATTGATTGGTTTTAGATATTGGCAATATGACATAAGGGCAATCTGCTAAATAGGAAATGTGCCTTCCAGGAGGTCTTTCAAGAAAACTGATTTCTATTCAGCCATTACTAATGTGAAGAAAACCCAGAAAACTACATGAGCCACTCTGTCAACCTGAGCCAATCAGTGTTTAGGATTAATTTCACTTAGCAACTGGTCCAGCATGAGTGTAGGATGAAGAATGATGCACTAGTGAATTCCACATGGAAAATTTTTTGCAGGAGTCTTGACTGGGATTCAATCCCAGATCATTCATGATTGCAGTCTGGAATGCTATCACTCAGTTATCTGGACAGCTTTTGACATGTATGAGAAAAACAAAGAATGCCTTTGAAATTGGTTCTTGAAAGCTTTACCATGTTACCAAAGCAAGAATACAGAGTGCAGAGACAATTATAAAAATCTTATGGTACAGTGGAGTGCTGAGAATAGACTAGGGGAACTAGGCTAGTCCCCTAAATTCCTTGAAGTACTGTCTAAATATTATTTTTAATGCATTTGTATTTGAAATCTTTCACTCGAAAAATACATATTTTTTGTATATTTATACCATCTGGCCTCCCTGCCTTTACACTGAGTTGAACTGTTCCATAAGCCAATCTGAACACCCTTCAGAGGTCCTTTAGTTAACATGTTAATAGGACTAGCTTGCAGAGACACGTTCCCATCATACTGTTGTTTTGTGAGCATCCAGGCATTCTGTAATAAAAGGTTTTTAGCTTCCTGTGCTTATTGAAAACAACAACATATTAGTTTTTGTATTTTTATTATTATAAAACAATTAAAAGTTTTCTTCTAAAGTGTGAATCTACTTAAAAGATGGTATATGTGATTAGGAAGCTTTGAGTTCAACTTGGAAGAGCCTCATTAGGAGAAG